TTCAGAGAGTATACAACATAGAGATGTAAATTATTTTAAGCGCTATTCTGCATAAATAGACTTTCTGCATTGCTTTGCCAAACTTGTATCTTGAAAGTGATAAAGTGTAGATGCCTGCAGTTGCAATCATAAAAATGTAATTGCTGAGAAATTATTTCTGATCCATTGGAGGAATTTATTACAGAGGGATGCAACTGTGTAAGTTATCACACAAGAAAATGAAAGCGAATGATTGAAATATATCCCAGGCTGAACACCCCTGCAAAATGACCTAGTGATTTACCTGCATCCAAGAGGGGAAAAAAATACATTAAAAATAAATCAGGTTTGGTGGGGAAGACTCTGGTAACTATAGAAGAGCAGAATAAAGATTTATGAATAAATGAATTCAGAATTTGGAGTGGCATAATAGTATCTATGACCAATTACTCCAAAAATTAAAATGTAATTTTGACTTTGAGTTATACACAGAGATGATAAGTAATTTCTGTGGAACCTTTAAAGCAAAGGAATATAACATGAAATCAAATAATGAGGAAAGTGAAAAAAATTTTAATGGGGCTACTAAATTAATATCTTTAGCAGGCGGTGATATGAACTAAAAGATCATGAACTTCTTTTGGAAAGTTTTCCAGTGTAACTATATCATATACTTAAAGTAAGCCATGTAACTATTTCATATTAAACACTCTTTGGAATAATAGCCAAGATATGGAAACAATCTAAATGTCCATCAACAGATGAATGAATAAAGAAAATGCGATATCTATATCTATATCTATCTATATATATATCGCATTTTCTTTATTCATACACAGTGAAATATTATTCAGTCATAAAGAAGAAGGAAATCAGCCGGGCTCGGTGGCTCAGCCTGTAATCCCGCGCCTTTGGGAGGCTGGGGCAGAGTGGATTGCCTGAGCCCATGGGTTCGAGACCCGCCTGGGCAGCGAGACCTCATCTCTACAATAAATCAAAAAAATCAGCCGGGCATGGTAACGCATGCCTGTAATTCCAGCTACTTGGAAGGCTGAGTCAGAAGGATCACTGAAGTCCAGCAGGTCGAGGCTGCGGTGGCCGGGAGCGGCCACTGCACTCCAGTCTGGGCGACAGAGTGAGACTCCAACTCAAAAAAAAAAGAAGAAGGAAATCCTGTCATTTTCTAACATGGATGAACCTGGAGGACATTATGCTAGGTGAAATAAGACAAAAAGGCAAATACTATATGATCTCATTATATGTGGAATCCAAAAAGGTCAAACTCATAGAAGCAGAGAGTAAGGGTAGTTTCCAGGTGTTAGGGGGTAGGGGAAATGGGGCAGATGTTAGTCAAAGGATACAAAATTTCAATTTTAAAGTGAATAAGTTCTGAAAGTATCCTAGAAAAAATACCTTTAATATAATTTACTGGACTCTTTTATTTGTATTGACAAGTGGTACACTTCAACGTGACAAATACAAGAAAGTTGAACATAAAATCCAAAAACTCAGTCATTTTAAAATAATAATTCTTTGACTTCAAAATGTACCAGTTTCTGATCAGAAGAATTCCATTATAATGAAAATAAAGAGTGTGTCCAGATAATTTGGTTGTACTAGAATTCTGCTTTATAAGATATTTCTTGCACAATAAATTATTAATATTTTAATTTAATATGACTTGAACATTGCTAAGACCTAGATTTTTTTTTGAAACTGAAATAGTGAAGCTGTTTACCAAACATTTTAAAGAAATCAATAAACATTTTGGAAAATATTGACAACAATCTTAAAGAACATAAAATTAGCAATTACTTTTTTTTTTTTTGAGACAGGGTCTCACTCTGTCACCCAGCTGTCACCCAGGCTGGAGTGTAGTGGCACGATCTCAACTTACTGCAAACTTGACTTTCCTGGACTCTAGTGATCCTCTGTCTCAGCTTCCCAAGTAGCTGCGACTACAAGCAGGCACCACCACACCAGGCTAATGTTTAATTTTTTTCCCCCGTTGCAAATGAGGTCTCACTGTGTTACCCAGGCTGATATCTCCTGGGTTCAAGTGATCTTCCCACCTCCGCCTCCCAAAATACTAGGATTACAGGTGTGAGCCACTGGCCCCAGCAGCAATTACATTTATATGTAACTGACAACTATCTGGCCTATAATAGATCTGAGTTCCCTTTCTGTGACTTATCTACTTGTGGATCTTGAAACATGTGAATCCAGGTATGTCAAAAGCCCTCTAAAATTAGCATAATTATACTTTTTAAAGAGATACCTTTCTTTCCAATCAATAAAATTACTCAAGTAGCTTCTCCCTTTTAATTTTCTAGGTGGACTCAACAAATGTTTATAGATGATTATAACAGTTTTAGAACATGCCGGAAAACACACACACACACACACACACACACACACACACACACACACACACACACACAAAGTGTGACCAGCACATCCTTCAATGTGAATTGACTTAGAATACTTTCTACTGACTTCTATAGCAATGAACTTATCTAAAGCAAAACATCTATTAGTTTCAATTAGAATATAAAAAACAGTTTCTCCTTGATACTTTCTCCATTTATAAGCAATATGTAAGCAACCTTTGATTAGTAAGTTTTAAGTGACCCACTCTAATGTTCCATTGTTAGAGACAAATAATGGTTACACAGTAACATTAATGTAATTGATTTTACCAGCCATCTCTAAAATGAAAGTCATTTCCCTACTCCCACTCTCTATAATTACATCGTAACAAACTTTAAATGATATGTGAGTACTCATTTAAAACTTTCCCCTAAAAACTCGGTGATATGTATGAAAAAACAAAAAAAAATTCATATTTGGTCACTTATTTTTACATTTAGTAACTAATCCTAGGAAAATAATACAAACTTAAAGATAAAAATTTATATACAAAGATACTCAGCACAGCAGTATTTATAATGTGAAAAAACATAAACAATGTAAATGTCCAAAAAGGAGAGAAAACTTTAAAAAAATATGGTGCAATCATGCAATGCATAAGTAAACAGCAATTTTATTAAACCATGCTTACAAAGAATGGAGAAATTAGTAAAACACCATTTTAATGGAAAAGTGGTATATAGCACTAAATATAGTACTATTTTGCCTTGTTTACATATATATTTTCTTCATATAAAGTATATACATATAAGATGTGTAAAGAAGATGGTCTTTAGGATTATGAAGTATAAGATAAGAATCACCCATAATTTTGCTGTACTGTAAGTAAATGCATCAAAACATTAGTGTTTCTCTCTTGGTGATAAGATTATGAGTGCTTGTTCTATTTTGGGTTTTACTGTTTTGGCTTTCCAATTTCTTCATAATTTTTTTTCTTTTTTTTGTTTTTTTTTTTTTGAGTTGGAGTCTCACTCTGTCGCCCAGACTGGAGTGCAGTGGCCGCTCCCAGCCACCGCAGCCTCGACCCGCTGGGCTCCGGCGATCCTTCCTCCGCAGCCTTCTGAGTAGCCAGAATTACAGGCATGCGCTACCATGCCTGGCTGATTTTTTTATTTATTGTAGAGATGAGGTCTCACCGCCCAGACGGGTCTCGAACCCACAGGCTCAGGCAATCCACTCACCTCAGCCTCCCAAAGGTGCGGGATTACAGGCTGAGCCACCGAGTCCGGCTTTTTTCATTTTTTAACATGAAACCATTAGGGGGTGGCTAAGACAGAGACTTTAATGGAGTCTCCATAGTCATCTAATATCAATTTCAAACCAGCTACTAGTGTATTAGTACCACTAAAACTGCCAAAGTTAATATTAAGCTATCATCAGTGAGGCACACATTTTGAATAGTCTTTCCAGTAGCAGATAGTAACTTGTGCTAAGTAAAAACAGGAAAAAAAAGGCTATTCTCAGAACTCCTCCCCTCTCCATCATCCATCTCACAAGGAAGTTAAGCACATTTTTAAATGATCTGAGGTAAGGCTGGCATAGTTTCTCACCCAAGTAGCCCTTGAATTCTTGAGTTTAGAAAAAAGGACTTGAATCTCATATTAGGAGTCATATAGGTCTAAAGGGGAGTTCCCTCACAATTTTGGGGTTAAGAACAAAAAATTAAAGTTATAACATTGTACAAATTTCTTTAAGCTTCGATTTTTAAAAAACTAAATACATAAAATCTAGACTTACATAATAAATAAGTCAGAGAATCATTATGCATGTTATCAAAAGATTATTTACCTTATGAAAGACTTTTTCACAGAATTCCTTTAAATAGCTGCTTTTCTCATATACTTTGGAATTTTAAAGATAATGTCCAGCCAGGCATGGTAACTCACACCTATAATCCCAACATTTTGGAGGGCTGAGGCAGGAGGATAGTTTGAGCCCAGGAGTTTGATACCAGCCTAAACAACATAGTGAGATCTTTTCTACACACACACACACACACACACACACACACACTCAAAAAATTATCCAGGTGTGGTGGCATGCACCTGTAGCCTCAGCAACTCAGGAGACTGAGGTTGGAGAATTGTTTGGGCCCAGGAGTTTAAAACTGTGATGAGCCCATGATCATTCTACTGTACTCTAGCCTGAGCGACAAAGTGAGACTCTGAATCCAAAAAATATTTTTAAAGATAATTTCCTATTTGAAAAAATGAACCACTATGTGCCTTAGGGTACATTCCTGAAATTCTCTAGGTCTCAGTTTCCTCATCTATATAATACAGACATGCTACTTGCCTTATTCAGTTTTCACGAGCAAGCAAAATAATGTTTGTAAGGTACTTTAAAAATTGTATATAACTACTATTACTGCTATCATGGTTAAAAGAGAATCTGGGAGAAAACTTTCAGAATGTTATTATTATTACTAAATATATAATACTTGTTTACATTTTAATAACACTTAAAGGTCAATTTTAGATGATATAGTTATATATAAAGATCAAATATTTCCTTGCCTCATTATTCACCTTTCCAAAATTTATTAGTCCTACTGCAGTTGCTGCATGTTATAATTTCCATGGTATTAATACCTGGATTATAAGAGGCTCCAGTAGTTTCTCTACAGTGAATGTTTGGACCTGAAGATCCTGAGGGTCGATATTCAGTGTGATTGGTGTTTCAGTTGACATGCTTCCTGTGCACAAACACAAAAAGATGCCTATTAATAAAGAGAGATATTTTCTAAAGAAGAGCACTCATGAAAATCATGAAGTAGCTAAGACTTGTATTGGGTACCTCCTCCCGATACCATTGGTAGCCCTCAGAGGACTAGGGTACAAAATCACCAGCAGATACACAAGATATTCACCCAACTGTTCTCTAAGGTCATGCTGTCTGGGCTTAGGTCCTCTAACAAATTAATCTACACTAGTATGTTCATAACTAAATTAATAACTTAAGAAGTCTTATTTACTTAAGCAGTCTTAAGTAAATAAAACAGTGAGCATAACTGACAGCATGCAAGTCTTCTGACTTCCATGAAATCATAGCACTAAAGAAGCCCAAGTCCATATTTTGCCTGTTCTTATTAATGATGACTTAGACAAGGAGCCAGGTAAAATATTGGAAGACATGTGATATGTCTTCACTTGTTTGGGAGGTTGTTTAGTTGAGGGTTTTTGAATCAATAAACAGGTTGGGACAACTTACTTTCCTGAAGAGCAAAAAAAACTCATATAAGTTGGCATTATTATTATAAAAAGAGAGAAGCCCCTGAGAAGGCATTGATATTTAGGTAAGACAATATAAGAAAAAAAAAAGTACAAGTCATTATTTAAGGCATTAATATTGTCCTTAAGAATCAATTCAGTGAGATTTTTGCATATAGCAAATGATCATATATGGCATACCATAACATATTAATATTAACATTTTAAAAATCTAGTCATGTCAAACAGCTATAATATATTATTTATTCATCTACTAAAACTACAGTTAATGTTGAGGGCTTTGTATAAAACCCATTAGCATTGTTGATTATAGAGAATATACTTTCTAAAATATAGTATATTTCTAAATAGTTCCCTTATTGAATATAACCCAAATGAGAATCAGGGCCCCCTTCACCCCTGTAACTGTCAAGCATGTCCTTGTTTCCAGCCTATGCTTAACTCCATCATAACCCACTTACAAAAATGTCTCTCTCTCCTTTTCACTGGTTTTATTTCCATTCTAAAAGTAGAAACACAGGCTCTTTACTCTGCTATTCAGTTGAAATGTAGATTATATGCTTCAAGAAAGGCTCCAAACGCTATTACCAAACGGTTTCTATCAAATGCATTTCGAGAACTGAAATGTTTGTTTTGGTTTGGTTTTGATTTTGGTTTGTTTTTCAGTCATTTTACCTACCACTTTGATTCCCTCTAACACAGGCAAATCTAAATGGACAGACAGGACATTCTCATACTAACCTTTCCGCATAACCCTAAGCTAATCTATGTAATAAGATTATTACATAGATTATATGTATAGTCTTAGGTGTATAGTCTTAGGGTCCTATCAAATGAGTGCTCAAAGGGGTTTACTTGTTACTCCTATAGAGGAACTATACTACATAAAAATCAACACAAGATTGCTGACATTGTCTTGTTATTTTATCTCAGGGACAAAAGTAGAAGAAATTTTTGTAAAGTAAAATAAGATCTAGGTGAACCTTCACAGATTTTTTAAAACATGTTCTGGCCAGGCACGGTGGCTCAAGACTGTAATCCCAGCACTTTGGGAGGCTAAGGTAAAAGGATTACCTGAGTCTACGGGTTCAAGAACAGCCTGGGCAACATGGTAATAGCGTTTGGAGCCTTTCTTGAAGCATATAATCTACATTTCAACTGAATAACTGAGTAAAGAGACTGTGTTTCTACTTTTAGAATGGAAATAAGGCCAGTGAAAAGGAGAGAGAGGCATTTTTGTAAGTGGGTTATGATAGAGTTAAGCATAGGCTGGAAACAAGGACACACTTGTTCTTTTTTTTAAAAAAGAGCAAAAAAGTCAGCCGGGTGTGGTAGCGCGACCCTGTAGTTCCAGCTACTTGGAAGGCTGAGGCAGAAGGACCGCCTGAGTCCAGTAGTTCGACGCTAAGATGGCTGTGGGCATGCCACTGCACTCCAGCCTGGGCAATGGAGTGAGACTCCAACTCAAAAATAAAATAAAATAAAATAAAATAAAACATGTTCTTTCACTGTGAAATTCACAATTGGTTTCCAAAGTAACATGGGCACCAGAAATTGAAAGTAAGAAAAATAAAATTTCAAGAGAGTAAAAATTATCCACATCATATGTATATCCTTCTAGAAGGACTTTTCAGCTTAAAAGGATTTTTCTAGAAGTGCTTTTCAGCCAAAAGATAAAACACAAACCTAATTTAGTTAAAATATCTTTTAAGTCTGTGTTCCTATTTTTAATACAGATTAAGAAAATAAGGTTTTTCCAAAGTTCATTTTTCCATGGTAAAAGTTATAAAATAATAAAACCAATAAGTCCTTCAAAAACCTTGGCTACACATAATTATTATTCTTTGGAAAAAAAAGTTGTGTCTTATAAAAAACATTTCTGATCTTTTGTATCTATCCTGTTGAGTATTCCTGATTGATTGGATATTAGGACAATAATAGGCAGAAAACAAGAATTTTACACATGAAGTTGAAAAAAAGTCAAAGCCTGACAAATTGTGTTGATAGCAATTTCACAATGTGAATCCTAAACAAAAATCCTACTAGGCTGTGAGAATTACACTATAAGGTACTTGCATTTTATAACCTATAAAATCCTAGGAGTTAGGGAGTACCTCCTAAACTCAGCAATACCTCCGACAACAACCTTCATTTCAACAATGTACTGGGCTTGATGAGAAGTTCACTATACCATTAAATGCTGATTGAGTTGAAATATGCTACTTTTTAACTTTTATCCAATAGAAAGGGTTTTATAAAGTGAAAAAAGTATACTTTATAATGTGAGAAAAGTACACAGTTGGAGACAGACAGACAGAATAAAATCCCAGTTTTCAGAATCAAAGGAAGGAGAACAAATCTCTTGACAGTGTTACTAGATGTCTCCAGAGATAGACCTCAAGGCAGAGCAAACCACACACAGGGATCCTTCCCTTCTCCCCAAATTATGTTTGTTCACATGGTCTGAATTTTTTTTTTTTTTTTGCTCCACTTTTTTCCCTGCTTGACATTTATCTTATATCAATTTTAAATTTATTTAGTTTAACACACATTTCTTTTTTAAATGCAGTTAACTCAGAGGTCATGGGGTGCACACATTCAGTCAAAAATTAGTATGAACTAGTTCATTGCTCTCCATCTGACACCCTGTGCATGTCTCCAATACAGCACACACCACACTGTGTTTTAGTCATTTTAGTCATGACTAAAACACATGAGAGTAAATGAAAGGGATGTCAGAAAATCAGAGAGATGTGCAGAGGAGCCAGTGGAAAACTTCACCCATTTGCAAAATTTTCCTAGGGGTGGCCATTCCCCAAAAATATTAAAGAGAAAACTTTTACCACCAACTCTTCCTCTCTGTAATTCACTTGACACACATGATCCACAACTCAGGCTTCTGTTAGTAAAACTAATATTCTCCTACATAAGTTGACATGTTCTTGTAGGATGGCTTGGAAATCTAACCATCCATAATGTGGTTCCTATGGAAAAGTCCCTAATACCAAATATTTAGTCTTTTATAAAAATTAACTTTTGTAAACACACAATTTGTAAGGTGATGGCTAATTCACCTTTAAGATTATCAAATTTCATAACACAGTTTTACATAGAATTACCTAAATAATCTAATTTTGTAGTCACTTTTCAACTAAACTATTTAAGTTTTCTTTTTCAAAGATTACAAACTCAAGTCTCCTCATCATATTTTTGGATATATAATTTGTATTTGCCCCACATTGCATAATTTTATTTTGTCCTCCTACCATCTCATCCTACAGAATCTGGACTTCTATTCTGCCAGTCAAAAATTGATTTTGAAGAACACAATATATTAACACCCCTCCTAGTTCCCTGTTTATCCATTAATGTGTGAATTCTACAGTTTTCAATTTAGTCACTGAGCAGATGAGAGCCAGATATGCAATCTGATTTTGATACTATGACAAATCTCTTCCAGATATGTAATAATCACTTTAGACATGACTTTCTTGTTTTTCTTTTTTGGTCTTTTTTTTTAATTTTTAGTTTTAAAGATGTGGGGTACAATTTAGGGTTAGGTATACAAATGTTCATTATGCAGGTACCCTTGTTGACAAGGTGTGCCCCCTCCCCTGGCAGTTTCCCACTACTGCCAATACTTTTCTTATAGTATTATGATAGTTGTTCAAAGTTCACTTAGGAGTGAGAACATGTGATACTCGGTTCTTTGTTTCTGCGATAGATCACTCAGTATTAAAGATATCAAGTCCATCAAAGCTGCTATAAAATTCATAATTTTGTCCTTTTTTGTGACTGCATAATACTCCATTGTGTATATGTACCATATTTTTTTTATCCAGTCCTCTTTCAATGGGCAGCGCAGTTGGTTCCATGTTTTTGCTATTGTGAACAATGCTGCAGTAAACATATGTGTGCAGGTATCTTTTTCATAGCGTGATTTGAATCCCTCCAAGTATATACCCAGTAGGGAGATTACGGGGTCATGTGGGAGGTTGATTTTTAAATCTTTTAGGAATCTCCAAACTGTTTTTCACAGAGGTTGTATTAATTTACACGACCACCAACAGTGTAGAAGTGTTCCCTTTTCCCCGCATCCTCTCCAGCATCTGTTGTTTTTTGAGTTATTGATGATGGCCATCCTGGACTGGACTTAGGTGGTATCTCAGTGTAATTTTAATTTGCACTTCTTTGATGTCTACTGAGGCTGAGCATCTTTTCATGTATCTGTTGGCTGCTCATATGTCCTCTTTTGAGAAGTGTCTATTCATATCTTTTGCCCACTTTTAATGGGGCTGTTTGTTTTTTTCTTTTCAGCACATTTGAGTTCCTTGTAGATCCTAGATGATAGGCTGTTGTCAGACATACAGTTGGCAAATAATCTTCCCCAGTCTGTGGGTTGTCTCCCTGCTCTCTTGATGCTTTCTTTCGCTTTACAGAAGCTTGTCAGTTTGATGAGGTCCCA